GAGGAAGAACCACTGTGTGCTCCCAAATTAGCCGTTCGGACCAGGTCAGGTTGGTTTTCCTGTTTACTGTCTACATGGAAAATAGGAAGAGAGACTGAAAAAAGAAAAACCTCATCCTAGTCACTATAAAAGGAGCCTGTTGTGTGGGCACCCAGGAATTTTACCTTTTCGTTTTTCTCGTTACTCTAGCGCAGCCTCAGCGGAGTCCGGGAGCGCGGTCAGCAGGCAGTAATGGCAGTAATGCAGATAAAGAGGGGTGCTGGTGATAGCAACTCCCCTGTCGGCGTTATTTCTTCTTGCACAAAAAACCGGGGATAGGACCTGCTCACCAATCAGCTGGTGAACACCTGTATCGGTGTTTCCCAAAGGGCGCGAGTCATGGAGGAGACATGCAGGGTTTGTGTCGGTTGTGTGCTGGGCCAAGGGGGACACAAAACCCACCCATGAATATACCTGAGATATCAAGCCACAAAATGCGTAAGGGAAGAGGTTATTTTAATTTAGGTGCAAAGGAGCGTAGCTCTCAAGTGTATGGGCGACCTCCTGAGCAAATGGCTTGGGTACAGAAGCAGCAACTTCTGGTACAGACTTAGTGTACTTCCTACTGGCTTGTCGGCAGGAAGGTTTCCTTGCCTCGAGTCAGGTTTGTTTCTGAAGGCCCACAACACTTCTACCTACCAGTCTAATTTGCCTGCGGTGTCCTATGGAGAGAGATGCTGTGGGAGAGTAATATAGATATATTGATAAGGGAGCCGGATTTGAGCTCTGGAAATGGTCCCTTGCCCAAAGCAGAGACTGAGAGGCAATATCCTGTGCTGCACCCCCTTCGCTGAAGTCAAAACAGAAACCACACAGGCCTTTCCAGAGCTGGCCCTGGCCAGCTCAGCTGCCTTACGCGGGAGCCTGCTAAGCGGAGGACCTAGCAAGGGGACGCACCCGCTCCGCTAAGGCGGGCACCTGCATCGTTGCTCCTGTTTTGCATGTGTACTGAGGGATGAGTGGGTGCCTGACTTCCCTGACACTGACACGTCGGGGAGGCGAAGCAGCTGATGATTATCAGGCGACACAACCCAAAGGACCGGGGCTAAAGGTGAAGAAGCCACATCATCCTTTCAGAATTTCACAGGCAGATTGCAAAAAAAGAAGCGAGCTGGATGGAGTTTGGCCAGCGGGAGCGAGCGATCGGAGCAGATAAGATACTGCCATTCTGGAAAGCGGAGCTGATTGATTGATTGCATTTTGGTTTTACAGCATCGGGATGAGTTATTGGGATCCTAAACATTGCAAGCTCCGAGAAGTCGCTAAATCCTGTTTGCCTTAGATTGTTTGTCCAGAAAGATACTGGAAGATGAACTCTTTCTTCCCTTCATAATTAGCCGTAATCTTATCTGAAGCCTCCAAGGTGCCTTAGCGACTGCCCCAGGAGAGGCAGCCCGGCGGCCCGGCCCCCCCGGGTTTGGGCTGCGCAGCGGGGGCCGTCGGCTCCCTTCCCTGCCCCTCTCCTGCGGGCGAAGGGAAGGGGAGCGGGCGCTCTCCCCGGGGAACGGCCGGGGACACCAAAGCCGGGGACGTCCTCCCCGCTGGCACCCACGCCGGGGCAGCACGGGCAGATGTTCCTGTTCAGTAGTCCTTGCTCATAAATTAAACCAGCCCTTTAGTCCCATGATTATATACCAGGCCTCTCCCAGGGCTTATCCAACTGCCGCAGCCCGTCCTTGAATCTGGCTTATTTTTAGCTGTGATTTTTATATTTGTCTGTAGCAAAACAGGCAGCGAGCGTCCAGCTTGCCGAGCTGGGCAGCAGAGACCTGCATTCTTGGTTAGTTACGGTGGTTTGTTCCAGGCCATGGATTAAAAATTTAAAAATTTGAAGAGGCAGGAGAAAAGTTCTTCTCTAACAAAGCTTATACCTGCTGCTGCTTCAGTAAGAATTACTGTTGAGACCTACGAGCTAGCCGGTTTTTAACCACAGTTAGTTACTATGTGTTACATTTTTGCATCATTCTAGTTTTCAGTCAAAGTGAAATGCCAAGTAAAATGTGTAGTAAAAATACTGTACCAACGTAACAGCAAGATAATTTGACAAGATGTGTTTTCTGCAAAGCTCTCTTGATCGGCAGAAATAAGCAGGTTAAAGGAGGGTGACTGAATGAATCAGCTTGTTCTTTTCCTTGGGCTCAGGGTCGTGATGACTTGCCTGCGGCTACCCACATTATCCTGTTTGCTCTTTCAAAACGCTGGCATTTTCGTTTTCTTTCAGCTGATTCCCTCAGCTGCCGGGAGCTGAGGGCCGGATGCGCGGCGGCTCCCGATCCCGAGGGGCATGTCTCCCAGCAGGGCAGGTACCACATGTATTTTAGAAATAAGTAAACTGTGCGTGAAGGAGACTTAAATGCTGGGTACTTCTGAGCAGAGCAAAATAACGGTGCAAACAATTTGTTCGTAACCATCCCGTAATAATTTTATTAACACCCATCAGCCTTTACAGGCAGTAAGTCCATCCTGTCACAGTAAATGGGATTTTTTTCCTACTGCGTTGCCCACGCGGCTGCAAGCCGTCGGGCAACGGTTAGCGACGCGGTTTCTCCGTTAGGCTACCTGGCGGTTTCAGTTGGCCGTGGTCGGCGCTGCGCTCGTTCGGGGGGCGACCGGGGCCCGAAGAGGAGGGAGAAGAAGGCTGCACCCGGTGGGAGCGTCGGGCGCCAGGCGTGCCGAGACGGCGTGCGGCGAG